AGTTGATTTTTCCTCTCCTGTGGTACATTTTTTTCTAACACACTCTGCTGTTGCAAAGGAGGCAAACAGTTGCTAATACTCACTTTTCTTTCCTGAGGTGAAACTCTATTAACAGTCACTGATATGCCAGAGATTTTTACTTTTGCTGGCCTGCCAGGTTTACGAATGGTGGTTAGCGGTTTCTTAATGGGCCGTACAATATTGCTGCACGGATGTGGTGATGTCAGGTTACTCTTGATAGGCCTAACATAGTCATAACCAGAGACCTCATTTTCAGTAGAAGAATTTTGTAAGGCTTTTACTATTTCAGTAAAAGCATTTTCAGTTTCCACATTGCGCCTTGCTTTGCTGTGGTCGTTAGCAAAATTTGAATCAACATGCTGTGTGGGCAGAACACTAACTACATTTAGATTACTTTCAGACACATGTCTCTTAGTTCTTCTTGACCTTCCAAAAACAACTGTCACAGTAATATTTTTGTTGCTGTTAACTTCTTCCATTACTCCTGCATTCGAGTTGGTACTTTTACCATCACTACTAAGTTTAGGTCTAGGTTCCGTGCTTTCAGTCATGTCTACTTTTGGTTTAGGAGGCCGTCCAATAGGTCTCTTGACCTGCTTAATAACTTGAGGACCTATTTTCTTTGGTCTACCAGGCTTTCTTTTTAAAACCAATTCACTGCCACTGCTTGATTTCTCCACAACTTCATCATTTTGTTTTGAGTCATTTAAGTTAGTTTGAACAATTGGACAAGAGCTTGTAACTGATTCTGCATAAACACAACTTGACTCCTCCTTGGTCTTATTTTCACTGTAATCACAATCCTTGACACAGATTGCATGAGAAAGATCTGTTTGTCTAACCTGTTTGTCTAACAAAGTGTTTGAGTGCCCCTGAAACAAACAAATATCTGTGCTTCCTTTAGAAGATGCAGCTGCAGATGTCAGAGTATACTTGACTCCTTCACTACTATTAACCTCTGAGACAAACATAAGCTTAATAGGACTAGAGTAGTTTAAGGGAGATGAGATCTCCCCAGCTTCAGAAGTTGTATTTAAATCCCCATTGTTGGAAGCTGAACTGGATGAATTAAAGGTCAGAGATTTCAAAAGACTGTCATTTATTTCTTGATGTATAACCATTTCTTGTTTGTTTGTTGCCACGCACACTGTTTTGACTTTACTGCTGCTTGGCACATGTGAAGATGGAAGGAAGCTTTGTCCTTTGCATCTCATTTCACTCACAGTGAAAGGTAAGTCTCTTCTAGCACCTAGGTTCATAACCTGTTCATATGCATTAAGTTTTTGACTTATTCTGTAACTATCCAACAATGAGTTGTTATTCTTTCTGGCTAAGCTTATTGTATCTTCTAAACGCTCTACAACAACTTGCAGATTTGTGTCTCTCACAATTTTGCTTATATTTATGTCACTGTGTCTTTCAGCTTGAGCATCTTTATTTAGTTTCATTTTTTCCAAACTTTCAAAAGGATTTTTTTCATTGGATGACTTTCTAAACACAAGATTGTTTGTTACATACACAGAGTACCACCCAGGAGGCACAATGTTACGTTTAGTTCTGCCCAAGATCCCATTACTCTCATCCTGTAGAGGAATTTGACCAGTCTCATTTAAGGTTGCACAATCTCCTTGCATTTTTGCGAGTTTCGCCTGTCTGGCGGCAATAGCGCTGTTTTCTGAAAGAACTAGAAAGCCAGAGCTTGTGTGAAAATTAGTAAGAGGTAGTTTGAAAGACTCGGTTTGGTGTAGTGGAAAGCACCTTGGTTTGGTTTGGCAATTCACGCATGGGTTATTTTCAAGATGTTGCAAGGCCTCCTCTTCTATCACAGTAAAACTGTGTCTTTTATTTGGATATATTTTATCAATTTTTTTGGTGGATTTCTTTGCAGTTCTCTCAGAAATTGCTTTTTTTCTTACAAGGGTTTCATCAAGGCTTGCAAGCTCCCTCTTGATTTGCAAAGACTGTCGTCGAATGAATGGTGAATCAGGAGAATTATACATTGAAAACAAAGTTTCCTGACGCTTGCGAAATCTTGTTTGGATGATTTTATTTTCCATTTGTTTATCATGTTGGCGAAGTAACTCCATAAAGCTGTAATCACTTGGCTTAGCATTATGCAAAAGAGAGGTTATGAACTCTCCTAATTTGACATCATTTTCTGGTGCCCTGTCGCTGCTAGAAAGTTTTATAAGATTTGCTGCTATATCTGTAGTGCCTATTGATTTTAGCTTTTCGTTAATACGGTCCATTAAATCTTCAAAAATGGCAGAATGTTCACCTTTGTCAGCCTTCTCAGGGTTTATATAATTGTTGCTTTCTTGGTCTGTTGATAGCAACGTTGTCTCTTTTCGCTTGCATGTTTTACTTTCATATGCAAATTCTCCATTGCTTCCTTCAGCTGGCAAGAGGGACGGAGGCTGGTTGATGGAGATTTCAAGCTTGTTGTTATCTAAAGTTGGGAAATCTATAACCGATCCTTCCAATGATTCAAATTCTTTACTCTGTACAGGTGATAGTGGAGGCGGTGATGGGCTGCGAGATCTATTTGAATTTTTAATGCTGTTCAAAAGATCACAGTCCTTGGTTGAATATGTACATGCTGCTGCTTTCCCAGAATGCCAGTGGTAATTTTGCAACTGTTCAGCACAATACTCATGAGAACTACATGCTCTGTTCACCATTGTCTTAAGACATCCAATTGCTACAGCTTGGCATGACAAAGAATGGAAATCTTTAATACAGACAGACAGAGGTGGTAAATAGGTGTTTGCTCTTTGAGTTTGTAAACAGCACCTTTTTGTCAGCATATGTCCATTGCAATTACAAAATGAAACGTGAACATCCTCTTCAGTAAGGGAACTGGGAGTTTCAGAGTGGACCAAATGTGTTTGCTTGCAACTGCAAGCTATAGGAAAACTTTCATCTTGTATTAGAAATTTTAACATAGCCAAAGTCTGTTGCCAGTGATATGAACAAAAAGATTCCAAAACTTTGCATAATGTTGATTTTCCTTTTTCAAAATTAGCTGTTTCCTCTGAATTTGCATCAGCTGTTGAGCTTGAACTGAAAATGAAAACAAATCAAAACAAAATATAAATTACAGTAAAACACCGTATCTAATGTTTGTTATAATGGTAACTCAAACCTAAAAACGTGAAGTTTGCAAAATAGTTCTATTTGCACTATTTGATCTTACTTTCAAGTGTCACTAGCAACAATGTTCATCTTATCTATTGCAATGATAGTCCTACCATAAGAAAAAATCATCAGGAAAAAAATAAGGGAAAAAAATAGTTTGAAATATAGCTTCCAATATCTAAATGTAATGAGAATAAAGTTAACTTTCTGATTTTCAAGCTACCTTAATCATCAATGAAGAGAAACCTCACCAGGAACCAAGGGAGCTTAATATTACTCCCATGCCACAAAAGTGAAGCATAGAAAGGGTAAATGACTCGCCTAAGGTCACAACTCATGGCTGTGGCACAGGCAAGAATGGATCCCTCTCTCCCAAATCCGACCCTAAGATATTCACATAGCAAAGTGTATTAAATGCTCTTCAAAATACTCTTAAAGATCCTTTTAAAGACATCTTCTATTTATATATTTGTTTTTTCAAGAATGCTTAATGGGCTAACAGAAAACGGTAAAGAATAGCCACTTGCTATTGTTATTCTTTGCATATAAAAGTTTCCCTTCTAGTTTTTAAATAAACTGCAGTGGTGCATCACAGGCTCTTCATTGCAATATACTACACACACTTGGATTCCTTCATTAAACAGAGATAATCACCCGTGGAATAATTAAATTCTGTGATAAAAGTTAATATCCTTTAAATCTGAAATACAGGGTAGGCCTATATCTAAATAAACTTCTGAGCAGTTGTTCTCAAAGGTATTAACTCAAAATAAAATCACTCATAAAATACTACCTTAACTATTTAATTAATTTCTTATAAATTAAAACTAATGTCACTGATCACGTACCTCATAAAACATTTATACTGAAAAGCTGAAAATTTTGCATGGCAAAAATTAATACAGATTTTTTTCAATTAAATACAAAATCCTTATTGCTGAATAGCAACTATCAACAGATAGTCAACACCTAACTCAAATGTTTTACTGAAACCAACTGCATAAGTAGAAAATATTATAAGAATTCTGTTTTAGAAAAGTATGTATTGTTTAAACATATCACCAAACTCTGAACATGACATTAACTTTTTGCCTTGCTATTATCTTGTGTAATTCTCTGCATTTAAGCCTGCCATTTGGAAAAAAATCATTTTGATTTGGTCTACAATTGTATTATCAAAGAAGAAATATTTAAAATTTCTATAAAGTTACCTATTCATTACTTAGCTCATACCCAATGTTACTGGCATCAATAACTTTAGCTTAAAGTTTTTTACTGGAAGTTACATACAGAAATTTGTACTTTTATTGTTTCACGTGGATTTTAGAGCATAAAACACGTTAACTATGCTTAATAATTTCTTATGTCTTTTCCTTCTCCTGTAACACTTAGTATGAAATGATATATATTAGAAATTAAGCATTTAGATGATACTAACTCATAAAAGCATCAGATAATTGTGAAGGCCCTAGTTGAAATTCTAATTATGTTTAAACTTAAATAATTAAAGTATTAAAAAGAAAAAACCCTCTTTACACTTTCAATCCAAAGTAAAACCAACATTATTCAAGGGCATGTCACTGTCAGGATTTAACTAATTTGAGACACTGCTTCACTGAGAAAAGTCTGAGAGTTACTCCATCCAACAAGCTCAGGAGTCATGAGGTGTTGAAATGTATTGCTACACTTGTGAAATCAAAGCTTATTCTAGTAATACAATTATGGATAAAAACTAATTCCCCTCCCACCATTGTAACTTCAGTTAAATAATGTTTTGAAAGGCCAGATAGAACAAAAAAAAAAAAAAAAAAACAAAACAAAAAAACAACAAACCCAAAAAACAAAAAATCCCCCCAAAACATGGCATTAGAACTTCAATATTTTGTTTGTAAATCTCAGTAAGTTTGTTAGGTACTAATTTGGAAAAAAGATGGCTATTATACAGTCTTTTCAGACTCCAGGCAGGTATCTGCCTCTCTAGACTCACAATGTATGTATAACGGAGTTTCACTGGAGAGCTCTAATAGGACCTGTTTTCATAACTGCTATTTAAAGTACGCTCACTGGTGGCAGAAACTTCCAGAGCACTAATGCTTTCTCAAAGTCAGTAACCAAAATTTCCAAAGGCCTCAGAACCGCTCTGAATTTGCTATATGGAGATCAACCTGTTGCATAAACTAATATCCTGGTTATCACACACATACTGGACATTCTTCCAAAATGATTGCTTTTCAACTTATCATAGCCTAATGTCTATAACCTGCTTTCCCTTAACGTGTGTTAGTTTCTAAAGCTGTCAGACAACTTCAGCTATTCTACTGCAACAGCACCCCACTCCACATGATCTTCCAAGTTTGTGAAAACACACCAACTCCTTACTCTGTTACCATTTTGGAGAACAGCTTACTATGCAAACAAATTAAAGCAATAAAGCAACTAATTTCTTTAAAATGTCTCTGTGCAGAGCCGTCAATATACTTAAATTTTTAGGAGCTTTTCAATAAAATTATGGAATTATATTTCAGTTTCCTGTAATTGCTGCCTATAGTGCTTTTGATTTGTGTCATCACACAGTAATTTAGGCTACCCTCAAGATAAAAGGCTTAAACAATCCCCTAGAAGGAACAGCTATCACTCTCCCAATTGCATACTTCCTCCACAGAACAGTCTTATACTTTCTACAAATCACACACGGGTAGGAAACTGAGGGAGTAAGAGGGTCAATATGCACTGCTCACTCCGGTGCCTTTTGTGCACAATATCTCCGAGGACAAAAGTTAAGCATGGAACGATGTTATTTCCCTGCTGGAGGGCAGGGATGGTCAATACCATGGAATGGGGATTAACTGGAGTAAAGGCAGAAATGACATAAGGTTAAGTACTAGCCTTTCAGTGCACTATTTTATGTATAAGAACGTAAACATTTGCCTCCTCCACAAATAAAAAAAACAAACAACAAACTATCAGGAAAGAGATCTGTCAGAGGACTCCCAAAAGATGTCCTTCCCTACTGTTCTATCCTCTGTCATCTCAGCCACAGACAAGACAGATCAATCTAGAAACTTCTTTAGAGACTGGGAACAGAACATACTTCTAAGTACTCATACAAACAGCACAGAACTATTATAGAACAATAAATTAGTCCTATAGAAATGCTTGCTTTCTGACTTTCCTAAGTAAATAAATCCCTCAAAAAAGCTATGTTATCTGTAATATATAATATTTTTTAAATGCAAACTAAAGAAGTAGCTGTTATAAATGAGAAGAAAATTAGAGAACTAATTCTACGAGTAATGCATAAATTCTGAGAAATCATCTGTCTTTAAAGCTCTTTCTGGTATATAAAATACTCATAGTAAATTAGCCATTACATGCTTAATTTATGCAGTTCTTGATCTTATGCTACTGCTAATGAACTTGTGCCTCAGGAGTAAGTCAAAGGAGTCAGGGTACAGGTTTTTGTTTCTTTCTTTTTTTTTTACTGAATGAGCAAATCAATCACACATCAGTGTTGTAAATTTATGTGCAAAAGCATTGAAGTGCTTTACTACAAATTACAACGTAGAAACACGTTAACTAAACAATTAAATTCATACAATCAGATTTAGGAATATAACAACACAAATAAGAAACAGAATTACAGTACATTTACAACACAAGACAAATACATGGAATTCATTAGAAAATATTGTAATAAATAATTCATGAATTATAGTGCAATTGATTTATGCATAAATATAACTAATTGCCTAAAAATCAGTTGTTAACAAAAATCAGTCAAAAATCAAGGCAGCCACAGAGTTTTACTAAATTACTGCGACAATGGAAATACTGCAATTAAAAAACAAATACAAGTATTTGTACTGTAAACAACTAAAAAAATCAGTCTCACTAAAGTTAATATACAATTTAATATAAAATTGTCATTAGCTACCAGAAATGGTTTAAACAGCTTTACTGAGCAGTAGTTCTAAAAACAGAGGCACTGTTTTTTAATATAAAATACTTGAGAAACATTCAAATAAGTAGAAAGCATGTAGGGCTTGCTTTCGCTTTCATTTAAAATTCTGTTGAAACAGGAATTTTCAGAAATTGTCAATTAATAAGTAGCAACTGGTAACTGAATTTATAAAACAGTTCAAAATGTGTACTTTAAATGACATTTAATGGAATACATAGGGGTTGGGATAGGAGAATCTAAATATTTCCCTGCCTTTCCTTAGTTGTGTAGTCAAAGGTTAACCTAATAATTAGAAACAAATAATTCTGTTCCTTTAAACACTTACAGGTTGAGTATCATCTATAAACTATCAAAAAATATTTTAATATACTATTTCTGACCAAAAAATAAATACAAGTACTAAAATGTTGAAAATTAATTATAATATTACATACAAAACTACTGAGTACTGTTAAGTCAATAGTAAAATGATCCCTGATTTTATGAATCCTGTTAAGTTTTTGGTCAGGTCATCTTTTAAATGATATAAAAAGAGTAGTCTAACTGGCCTTCAATATAAACTTTTGATTCAAGTTTATAACATTGTCTGAGGAGTACAAAAGATCAGTATGGTACAAATATCAGGCAAAGTGTTGAAGCCCCAAATTTTTGCAAGTAAAACTGTGTAAAGACAGATCTTGAAACATTTAAGGTTTTTCAACCTCATTCTTCTGTGGGGATATATTCACAAATTAATCCTTCTGGCCCTCCCAAAATATGGCTTAATTCTTTTAAAATGAAAGATGACCCTGACATCTGCTGTTTCATGACCTTCTTGTTATCAGGTACAGTTCTGCTTATAAAAAGGATTCATTCTGTAATATGTAAGTAAACTTCAATCACTGAAGACGATTCAGTATAGATCTGAGAGACCAAAGAACTGAGACACTGGTGGTGCAGTTTCAATGGAGTATTTTGTTTTAAAATGGAAGTTATCACCTTTTTAGTAGCATTACTATGGGCTAGATTTTGCCATTAATATTGCAGTATGCTCTTTACTTTTTTAATGGCAAGTTTATCTTTAAGTCAAATTACCTCTTGTGGCCCATATGTATCTAACGTCCAGTTTAATTTATATAATCAACCTATAAAAATGTGAATTTGTTGGGGGAAAAAATGGATGCTTGTGTACTAAACGTATAAAAGTTGGAGAAAAGTTTTTCTATGCCAAATTATACATAAAAAATTACATTTTGAGAGGAAAAGGGCATTGATGTTCAGTATTGAATGTAAGAAGCAAGCCCCCATTCTTCATATGTAGACATATACTTTGTGATAGTACACAAAAAAAATAAGTATGATATAAAGTCTAATGTGAATACTTTGAAATTCATATAAAAACTGCAATATGAAGGTAATTGGTCTCCCTTAAATTCTATTAAAAGTTACGTAAAGTGAACTGCCTAACTTCTAACTACCAAATTTATAAAGAATTTATATTATTGAAAGTTCAAAACAGCTTCACCGCTTAATATCTGTACTTCTATCAAGACCCTGAACTGCAAATTTGGTTATTAGCAAAGTGATAATGTAACTTGGTATTCATTTGAAAAACTGAAAATGTTTTGAAATGTCACAGCAGCAAATACATTACAGTTACAGTGAGGTTTTTCAAAAGGAGTGTGACACAATCCTTAATAAATTTTAAGTAGTCATAACATCAACTAACCAGCACATTTCAACAAAAAAACCCAAACGAACCCAAACCATTCTCAAGCTCATTCTGTGCACATTATGAACATGCTCTAAACTGCATTCCAACTTTCTTCTTAAACCTTACAAGTTATCTTGTCAAACTAAAAAGGAAAATTATGTTAAAGTTTAAATTATTTTATGCTCTCAGTATTCCATCTTATTTCATATTTAATAACTCTATAACTACAGTAATTTCTCAGATTTCATAAGTGTACACTTTGTAAACACCAATTTCTTTCTAAACCAACAACGAAATTTTCTTAAACTGATAAAAAAAATGCAGTTTATGCCTGCTAAACACACATTTTTAGTAATGAAATCTTTTTCTTACTTGTATTGGATATTTAAGCAACAATGAACTTTTTTCTTTCACAGAATGTACTATATCCTACTAATATTTCACAAATCCACCTCCTTGTAAGGAACTAGCTTTTTAAAAAAATCCCTTGACTTGTATAATCTGAGTTACTTACAATTTATTGCAAGTATTCTGTGAAGTATAAAAGTCTGCTAACCCTTGGTTGTGTACTTCCATAATAAGATGGATTATTGAATGGGTAGAGTGGTTTTTCACCAATTAAAAATTATGCTTCACATGACAAATACTTGTTTTCCCAAAACATCTTTATGCTATTGACTACTAAATAAAACCTGAATCTTTTCACCTATTTATACAAGGATTATATTAAATACACACTATCAGAATTAAGTCAGCAACTCTATAATTCTGTCCACAGTGAAAACCCTGAATAAAACTATTTTTCAAAAGGCATGTGTGTGGTTTTTGAACTGTATAGTTTCACGTCTTCTGTCAGAGTGAGTATATGTATTTCTCACATGGTGTGTGTATATACAGACATACGTACACACACACAAAACAATTCGCTAACAATTATTCTACACAGGCTTGCTACTATTCTTGCAGCTGCCAGTCCCTGAATCTGTCATATTAAATAAGCCAGTATCTGGTAATCGGAGTTTCTTCTTCGGCGGAGTCTTCAGTGTTCCAGATCTTTCTTTTACTTTATATTCTAAAGTGCTGTGAGGTACCCCATAAATTCCTTGTGCTTTGGAAACACTCATTTTCCCACTCATTACCATTGCAATTGCTTCTTCCATTATTTCATGATCATACTGCCGATAGCGGCCACGTTTTTTTCGTGGTTGCTTATTATCTTTACGATCCAAACTATCTTCTGTATTTTCTGAGGTTCCATCTACTGTCCCATTCTTAGCATTAAGACACAAAGGAGAGAGGTCCCCATGCAGAAAGTAGGAGTCAACACTTGAGTGAGTTACAGGTCCAGAACATTCAATTTTGTTCTGTTTGGGGAGTATATTTTTCAATTTTTGAAGAGCTGATCCTTCTAAGACTGAGGAGGTTTTAGAAACGTGGTACATAACATCCAGAAGACCAGCAGTATCAGACTGTGGTTTGGACACAGAACTTATTCTTAGCTGAGGAATTTTTAATTGTACAGTAGGACTTGAAGTTTCATACTGTAGATTTTCACTTTTTTCTTTAAATTGAGTGACCATTCTCTGTAGAGTTAACTGGTGGAGGTAACTGGAAGCTGTTGGGAATTTTAATTCTGAGGTTTCAAGTAGACTGAGTTTACTTTTTTCTGTGCGCTCTGCTTGAGCTCTTGCCCACAAGGCTACTTTTTGTAGGACTGCACAAGTTTCTTTACTGTCTTTAAATGAATAACTATCACTGAAATCTCGAGTTTTGTTTTTAAAAGGTGCAGGCTTTCCTGCTGGTAAGGCTTCTAAGTGGAGAAGTAAAGTTTTTTGAGGTATGCCATAAAGTATGCCTGCTTTATTTATGTCCAGTGCTCCAGACTGAATGTCTTTCAAAGCTTTTGAGAGCAAACCATCTGCAAACTCAGCACTTCTTTCCACATAGTCCTCTCTGTGTCTGTGTAGTCTCCTGGATGGATGGAATGAAACGATGGTAAACTGATGTATGAGAGACTCTCACACAGCTATGGAAGGGAAGGGTCCACTCCTTTATTATACTCCTTGCTTCGGTAACATCACTGCTTCTGATACTTTAAAGCCTTTGAGATGTGGTAGTTAAATGATTATCCTAGCAAAATGTTACAGTTCTGGTAGGACAGTGCATCAAAAATCATACGGTGGCTTCTACAGCAGCCCTTCCAAGAACTTAATATCCTAGCTCAGCATTTGATAATATTCTCATGTGCTTGCTATATCCCCTTGTTCACATGCTTGCAGAGCAACACGGTTATAATTTTAATTATACAATTAACGTTTCATTAAATACCCAAATCCTGAAGGAGTTTTTGTTAGTAGAAACGTGACGTTACCGCTAAACAAGTAATAAAAGAGTCAACCCCCTCATAGAAAATTTGCAGCAATAAGTACATAACTACCGACAAACAGCCCAGACTTACACAAAACTAGGCTTTCTACAACAATAAGATTAAGTGCTGTAGCTAACAAGTCCATTTTGGTAAGATAAAACACAGTATTAAAGACTTCTAGCCACTATTTACAGCTCTCTAATTACAAAGCCATTTTGGTTTTAAAACTTCTTCATACCAACAAATTAGTAAAATGAAATTTTACACCATTCAAGAAATACTGCTATTGTAGTTCTATTTGTAGTAAGTTATTTGGTAAGACATACAGGTGACAAAAAGGGTCCTGCTATGGCTAGTGGATGGGAAGATGCCAAGATTGTAACAAAATCCAACAAAACAATGCATTTCACTAGTTTTGTGGTAGCTTTCAGCAGATGCAATGTTGGTTATTTTTGCTGAATAAAGAAATTTAACCATTTGCCACCACACACCATAGTCAGAACCATGATGTAAGTAGTAGTATGATGATTAAGAGCTCTCTCTCGCGCACTTGCTTGCTCTCTCTCTCTTATTAAGGAATATTAGAGATAGTCATTTAACTTGTTCATGTTAGTTGAAGAATATTTTAAATCTAAATATTAACATGCTCATTTTTGTCCAAAATTGAAGTTTCCTAAGTAAACTCTGAAAGAATGTATTTACATCTTCTACTAGCCTATTACTTTAAATGTGTTATGTAATAAATTTTCAGGTAATTTTTAGTAACATGAACTAAAGTTTGGTGATTGTTCTGATAACTTTTCTTTAAACAGAAAAAAAAAGGAAAAAGACAAATGAAACATATGATATATACATAGACACACACTTATGAGTGACAAAAATTCTTTTGAAAGCAAAATAGGAACCACGTGTGTGTCAGTATATACAAATATGTTATGAACACAAAACCTGACTTCAGAGGAGAGAAACCTGGATTGTCTTTTATATAAGCCAAAAAGATTCCTAAGAATTGCTTACCCAGACACTGAGTTTTCAGAACACAACGGGTCGTATTTTGGTTCTTCCAACCTTGCGCTTTTCTTTGTAGAGAGATCTAGCACTCCATCCCCTGCAAAGAATGAGTAGTGGTGATAGCAGTTGTTTAATGGTGATCTTGAAAATTTTGTTAGCAAATGTTTAGACCTATGGCCCATTTTTTAAGCAGTTACTTTGTCTTGTGAAGTTACTGACATCCCTTTAACAATGTCAGCTGTCAGCAAATGGGTTTAGATATGACTTGCAAGAAAACTTTTTAAAATTAAGAAAGAAATAGAAACATCCTATTCAGAAAGAATAAAATTTAAAAGAAGAATCTCTCTTAAACAGGAACACATGACTGTTTGCCTAAATATCACACATGTGTATATACCGCATTGTTTACTTTCAAGGCAAACAAAGCAACCCACTTATTCATATTTACATACTGTAAACAACCAAACATGATACTGAAGTTAAAACTGAACTAACTAATTATAGGCTTACAGGATAATTCAGGCTTACAGGGATCTCAGGAGGTCTCTAGACCAACCCCCTGCTCAGATCAGGGTCAGCTGTGAGACCCGACCAGGTTACTGGATGAGACAGCAGTACCTCAGTATCTGGGAAGAAAGCTTCAGCCCAGTACAGAGTTTTGGGCACAAGACCTATGTCATTAAATGTCCTAACAGTTTGTTTATACATATTCCCCCTGCCGCCCCCATATATATATGTAATAATGAAACTAGAGAAATGGTAAGACCTAAACTGGGGTGGGAGTCCACTCTGTTAAGTCACTGGCAAATGTTGAATTCAAGATTTATAGTTGACTGTTGAAGTCTATGAAGTACTGAAATAGAAAACCATTTTTTTAATCAATATTAAAGAACATTGAAACATAAAGCAGCTAATTAGCACATGTATTATTCCTAGTTTGTTTTCGTCTTAAAGAAAAAAAGCACATTTAAATTATAGACAAATCCCCTAAATATATTTAATTTCATATCTTTCTTTCTTGGTTTTCTGTTTCAAACTTGGGATGTTTTGTATGCCTGACCTCTGCAAATCCGATTTTGTTTCAACATGTACCTCAACATTCAGCTCTACAAGAAACCTTATGCTACCCATTTTTTACATTAGTGTCATTTTCATGTTACTGCATATTATTTCTAAAACATCATCAACTGTATCTATTTTCCCACAGCCTCAGATCCGGACATGAAGCATTGGCTGAATAGTCCAAATACCAACACTCAAAGAAGTCAGAAAAATTGTCAGGATAACTCTTTTGTACCAATGCTGCACAGAAATAGCTTTGTGTAGTAATCAAATCCATCTATTTAATTTTGACTGGTTTTCCTCATCTTTAACTGTTTTCTCACAACTATTTTGTATTATTTGAAAGGTAAAGGGAGAAAAAGTAGCATTATTCAGCCTGAGTAAAAAAATATTTATAAGTATGCTACTTGTCAAAGACGCTTCTTTACTCCTGAACACATTCCTTTCAAAGTCTTCCTTAACCCTAAGAAAGCTAAAGGAAGGACTATTTAATCACCCTTTCTGATATGCCAGAAGGAAAAGCCAATTAAAAGCACTATGGAAATATTTTTCAAGTATTACCTAGCATACCCAGCTGGAAAGTATCACAAATACCTAAGCTCGAAATATCCTCAAGTCTGTGTAACAGACAGATTTAATCTGCTGTGTTGTGTCAGTCACACAAAGTACATCTCCCTTTCTTAAGTGCTTGTGTATGCTCCCTTTCACAACAGTTTCTCCATCTTCAGTTGATATTCATAGGCACCATGATAAAATAAGTTTAAAAGAGATCACTAGAGAAAAAGTGACTTTAAAGTTCACAACTCATCAAGAGCTAATACTCCCTGTACTCAAAAAAAGTTAAAATGAAGCCAACTAGATTTCTGTAGAAAAAGAAAAGCCCAAACCCAAAAAATCAAACACCACCCAACAAAGAAAACCCAAAGACTCTTGCCAGTCTCCATAACAAAATCCAATAAAAACGATTTTAATTTCCAATATTTCAGAACTGGCTTTGCCAAGGCCACCAATAAGCTGAAAAAATATTAAAAAGAAGACAGTACTGAAAATACAGACCCCTAAAACAAAAATTAGGTACATTTTGTGCCCCTAAAGGGTAAGCAGGACTGAAGAGTCATTTCAGGTTCAAGACAGTTGGATCCTCCAACACAGCATATGTAAGCATTAAGAATATGACACCTACCTAAAGACAATGCCTTATGGGAAGCTGATCCTCAGCAGGAGTGAAAGGGAACCATGCAAGAAATTTGATATACATACAAAATACCAGCTAAAGTCACCACAGAACTTTCTAATCACTCAAAACAGGCATTTAGGCAAGAATTCTAGCAGGAACTGAGTTCCATCAGGGAAAAAACAAACAAACAAACAAAAAAAAAAAACCACCAAAAAAAAAACCAAACCCAAAAACAAACAACCAAACCACTATAATTTTAATAACAGACATGGAATTACATCTACTCTTTAGCTGAAGCCATGACTACCAAGACAACAGTCTTCATAAACAGTAACTCTGGATAATATAGAAAAGATATCAATTTTTCATGTCTGCTGCTTATGATCTTCTAATAAAGTTATTTCTGTGCAAATTAAATGATTGCGATCTTCAGAGAAATGGCTCAACCTCTAGTCTTTGCTTCTTAGCACCAGATCACCAGGTCCAGCAATACCAAAACATAACTGTGATTAAAGATCATCTTCAAAATAACCGTGAGGTGGAAGAATAACTAACAGAAACTGTATGGGTCACTCCTGAATTCCTACATTTGGTGTTTCTAACAAAATTCTTTCCCCTGCTTTTCAGCAAACCTCTCACTAGCTATTATGAACCTCCTTCCTGGGTCACACAACCTTCTCTACCCAGTCCTCATTCTCTAGGCATGGGAAAACACCACTCCTAGTGTGGGAGAGCACATCAGCCTGTCCACCACCTTCAGCTTGTTCCTCTTCTGCTCTCCCAGTAGCTCTCCAGTAATTACTGAATTAAGAATGTGAGAAATACATCCCTGTCTACTCCAGCTTTAGTTTCTGGGCTTAGTTCAGTTAGCTCGGAAGTTGTTTAAGGTCTTTTCTGAATCCAGTGACAGTGTCCATCTCTACAACCTCCTGTCAAAGCAGTTTCTGATATTTGCAAATTGCTGTGCAAAAGCTGCCCCTTATATGCTTTTCCCTTCCAAGAAGTTTCAGCAAGCCCTGCCCAGTTCTCATATTGCGCAGTTCAGTAAGTAACTCTACCTTATCCGTCACACTGTGGTAAACCTCAATCAGGTTTTTCATAGCAACAAAATTACATTGTCTTGTCTTCAATACCTTTCCTGATGATGCCTTGCCTTCTGTTGTTTATTTTCTGTGCTGCTGCATATGGAGACAATGTTTTCAGAGAACTGGCAGTAAGAATGACAATTCTTAGCTACTGCTCTGACTAGCCCCTTTTTGCTGACCTGACATGCTATTCTGTAAAATGAAAAACTGCTAGATGAAAAGTACATGGCTATGCACTGGGTGCCCATGGCAGAGTCTTGTAGTGACTGCAAAGAGATGCCAGAGGCTGCCCTGTGCTGGGCATAAACAGCTCTAGCTGATTCCAACAGACCAAATGCTGGACACAGCAGAGCTCAGCAGCCATTTGGGCAGAACCTCTGGAAAATCATATTTAAGAAAGTGTAAAAAGTGCTGGGTGGAGACAGAAAAAGGGAACAAACAGAATGAGAAAACAGCAGAGGGAAGCCCAGTGGCAGAGGAAAATGGCAGAGAAGAAACTGTTTGGTACAGACTGTAGACACCCCACACCCATTCCCCTGCACCACAGGGGTGGTGGTGGTCACAAGGGTGGCTGGAGTGAAGCTGAGCCTGGGAAAGGGGGAGGAAAGATGGTGTTATAATGTGTCTTTCTGTTTCCACTACCTGAAATAATTATTTTAATAGACAATAATTTAAGTTAATTTTCCCAAAGCAGAGTTGGTTTTGCCCATGATAGCAAGTGGTAAGCAATGACAATATCCTTAACTCATGAGCTCTCCTCCTTGTTCTTCCCATTTTCTCCCCTTTGTGCCATTGAGAGAGGGGCAAACAAGACAGTGTCAGACAAGGAGTGTGGCTGTTAGCCACCAAGGCAACCAAGGAATAAGTAAACACTCCCCTCCAAAACAATATATTTTTAGGGTTACCTTGTCATGCCGAAGCATTAAACAAACCGTTTCTTGAATATATTTACAGCTCATACAATTTGTCTTTGGAAACATTGCATGTGTACCTTTAAAAAGCACAGTGTTTTCCCCAGTACAGATGGTAAGAACAATATATGAAGAAAAGGTTATTTTTAGTAATGTTTGGGATTATTTCAATAGCCCTGAACACAGCAAACAAGAAGCCATACAGCTGTGAGCCCAGCAGCTATACTAAACTTCAACATGGACTTTCACAATATTAAACTACTTTTCAAAAATTAAGAACTGTTTCCAAATTCTGGTCCATTATTCAGAAATCATTATTTTGCTGCAAATTTTGGTGAAATCAAATGAACATTGTTAAACTGGATAATAAAATGCTATTTTAAATCATTTAAACAGAATTTTGGCTTGGATTATCCTTACTTTTCCTACTTTTTCAGTAATAGCCAACAATGACAAAGCTATAGCCTAGCTGTAAGAAGTTCATAGTGTGAAGTGTCACTCATTGCCGGCTACATTCTGAAGTCTTCCAATCTACGATGGATTAATGAAACACGGAAGTCTATGCAAATTCTCTTCATTTGCTGCTTTGTTTACAAACTATCACTGTTCCTAGAGGATACAGCAACAAGAATAAGATAAATGATCAGATAACTTGTTTGTACTTCTTTATATTTCTGCCTCTGTAAGTCACTTTGCTTAAAAGCCTGAGAGTGATCAACTCTCCCGTGTCTATCAACGGAAAGAGAACTCTGCACCAAAGTCAACTGTTCCTGGAACACTGCCCAAAGAGGTCAGCATCATTACTGCACAAGAAAATAATAAGCTACTCCAAGGTATTCCAAGACTGTTCTCCACTCAATATTTTATTCTACAAGGATGCTGCCTTTTCATTCTCTTAGTTTTGAGGAAAAATAATATTGCAAAAACACACAATACCACCCTATTTTTTCTAGATGCAGGGTACACAAAACACTTTTTCACTATAAAGAGCATTCTTTTCAAAGCCTGGAGAGTCTTAAGAATTACATGGATTAGGAAAAAAGAGCAAGACATAGGTATCTGAGACAGTTGATCCTAATTGACTGACCATGAAGAAATTGCCTAATTACTTGGCAGGAAGGTGCACAGGAATCCAAGTACCCTGCTAAGTTACTACACTTCCACATGTACAAGAAAGCAGGACATAATCTGTGACTCTGCCATCAGTCAGGCACCAGCCAGACATCCTTGGATGCCAGTGCTTAAATACTCAGTACTGAATGATTCAGTACCAGCGGTGCAATGGGTTGACTCTGGCCAGCAGCCAGATCCCCATGCAGTCCCACTCTCACTCCCTCTCAACAGGGGCAGCAGAAAAAAATAAGATGCAAAACATCATCAAGATAAAACACAGGGAGATCACTTACCAATTACCATCACAGCCAAAAGAGACGGGGAAAACTGCAATTCAAATAGATTTGGATAACGAGAAAGACAAAAGTTAAAGCACCTCTCCACCTTTTCCCAGGCTCAACTGCACTCCCACCTCCTTTACCATTCTCCCCCATCTCCAGGCAGCACAGCAGGATTGCAAATGGGGGGTTAGTACAATCTACAGGTCCTTCCTCCTTATGCTTTTCCCCTACTCCATTGTGAGTTCTCCAGAGACTGCAGTTCCTTCAGGAAATATCCAGTTGCTCAAATGTGAGGTCTTCCACCGCCTGCAGTGTAAATACCTGCTCCAGAGTGATGCCTTCCATGAGCTGCAGCAGAAGACCTGCTCCATCATGGTCCTCTCTATATGCTGCAGGGAAATACCTGCCCTGGTGCCTAAAGCACCTTCTTCCCCTCCTTCTCTGACCTTGTTCCTCCTGCTGTTTCTCACTCCTCTGCCTTCTGGCATTTTTGTTCTTTCTTGAATAAATTCTCAGAGGCACCAGAAACCTCTCGGATGTGGCTCCACTCTGACCTTCTGCACATCTTGCAGAGCTGACCTCTTCCATAGATGCAATCCCTGCAGCCTTCCCCAGCTACCAAAACCTGGCCACATAAACCCAATACAGAGGGATACTAGGTCTTGAAGTGTCAGACCTGAATATTCTGGGAGATGAACAACAGGTACTGGAGGAAAGCAAGAAGTTTTCTTATATGAAGATAAGATCATCCAGACATCTTCAGTGGCAGAATCTTTTTTTCAGTACTGAGCTAGCATTTAGCTTGGATCTACTCAGTACGAAAAACAACCCCAAAAATGATTCTAGTGATCTGGAAAATAAAACTAACTCCTTCCTCTCAACTTAAGACCAAGAATCATTGCCACAGTAAAGGAACAAGAGTGCTTTATAATTTAGATCATTAATCTTAAAGATGACTACTATAAATACAAAGCACCTGCTTTAACAGAAAATGAAATTAAGTCATTATCTGCTTCACAAGACTTGAATTGAGACAGATTTCATCTCTGATGATCCATCAGAGAAATGTATAAATTTGAACTTCCTCCTTTGTTACTGCCACTTCATTTGGAAATTGTAACAGGAAATACAAATAGCAAATAATAACAAGAGTTGCATGACAACTGAAAGACACTACTGAGAAGGGAACCATGGTATAATTTATGAATCTCCAAACTGAAGTATACTATGTTAGGCAAAGAATAATGCACTTTTAAAAATGATCCAATTGAAAAATTTCATGATTCCCTACCACAAGCATGTAATGTGTCAATATATCCAAGTTCTCTTCAGGAAAAGGACAGAGGTGAAGAGTAGGTAAAATAGTAATACACAGTCCCTGACAATAGCTAATTGAAAAAACTCTTCCTGAATCATTACACCTAGAACACAACACAAAGAAAAAGAGCGGACTGACTTTTTTCATCTTGATCTTATTTGCTTGTGTTACCACTACAGTGGAAAGCTAAGATAGCTCAAAACTGCTATGTTATGTTGATGGGAAATGCTAAGTGCACTACAACTTTCCTGGTAGAGAAGATGGCTTAAAGCCTTTCTCCAGCTGCAGCTTTGTTTCAATACTTCCCATTTCAGTAGCTCGATACTACAGAGCAAGACTAGCACCTTTAACATTTGCAAAGCATTCCAGCAAATAATGCAATATAAGTTCTGAGAATCTACAGTATCTTACACAGCTTATGAGTTTCACATAGTAAACTATGTATGCTGAGCAAATATTTTAGCCTCAGATCTTTTGCTGAAGATGCAGAATTCTAAATTTGTTGGTTAGCTTTGCCATAAGAAAAATGCAAATCATAAAAAAAAAAAAAGATTTAAATACCTCAATCTCTCTATACTTTAAATTATTTTTGAACAGATCAATAGATTTTCAAATAGCTGAGGGTGGCAGCAGAACTCTCTTCCCATTCCTGCCCTCTTCACCATCTGCCTTCCCCTTCATTCCTCAAAGATTTATTTGGGCTCAGCAAGGACCAAAACCTTTCTCTGAAAACTCTGCTCCATCATGGACACTTAAACTAGTTATTCTTTATAAGCAGCTGTTGAAGTAAGCAACAGGCTACAGTGCTGATACTAGGGAAGTACTTTCTATTGCCCTTGCAAAAGAAACATGCTTCTACCCAGCAAATTATAAATCTCTAAAATCTGTTAATTCATCCATAGCACAGGTATGTCAAAACACTGCAGGTTATTTTCTCAGGATTTAATCTATACAAGGTATTCACTAAACGGACGCATGAACTGGTTTCTGCTAACGACGCAGAACAAAAGCAGGAATTCCACATTTTCTCAATTACTTTATGACAAAGAAAAAGGATGCTTAAACTAATCTAGACTAGGTATGTTTAGCAAGGTAAATCCATGTCAGACTACTGTCCGTCCCCCAAGCACGTGTCACCTTATTGAAGACTGCATCACTGAGCACACACATATGAAATCTGCTTTCATCCTGACAAAACGTTATGGTTTTTTTTCAGAAACTAAGTTCTGCATTTCTACCTTCTTTTAACTTCTTTAGTATGGTACATGACCTAGGTACACTTTTTCCTCTGGTCTCAAGTATTATTGGATTAACATGGACTCCTGTATCTGCAAAAGACAAAAGCTGCTTTTGCCAGTGCTTTCAGGTGCACAGGAAAGAACATGGGGTTTTGGCTGGTGGGGTTTTTTTTTTGTGGTTTCCCCCTGGCCAGTTCTCTTACAATATTTTTTCATGGTGCTTAAAGGAAAATATATTAGTTTTCTTTAAGTGTTAAGTTGATGCAATGCCAATTTTCTTTCAACCTTATTTTAATCACATAGGATAATTTTTTTCCTATATACTGATTACTACTTTGGAAAAACGAAATAAAGATATCTGACACAGACTTTTTTTTTAAATGAATAAGACTTAAAAAGGCAATAAATGACAGCAGAACATAAATAAGCAGATATAGACATTTACCTTGCTGAGTATTCTGTTCTTGAGTTCGATTCACAGTGAGGTCTAGAGGGCTATCCTGTTCTTCCTGAAGGGAGTTTTCCGTTTGGTTCATTTGGATACTTTTACATATCAGACTTGGTTCAAACGATGAACCATTTCTGTTCTCTTGAATTTTGCTACTTTTTGAAATGTACTCAATCGCAAACTGACGGATCATTTTTTTCATTAATTCCTGAGCAACTAGGGGAATGTTAGGATCACAGTTCTGAGGAAGATCTAGGAATAAAAAACAACACAGGCAACAGATGCATTAAAAAACACCAAATTTCATTACTTTTCTTTAAATAAATACTTCCCATAAGCCAAACAAATGTGTATAATAAGTACATGTATAACAAAGACATTAATTCAGATGTATGCAAGTTTTTCTTATGAGCATTTCTAACTTGAGGTCACTTTGAAGAACATGTTTAGCACGCATCAGTAATTTTTACCTTATTCCTCTGTTACAGCATGCAAGTAAAACTATGTGGGTAAATCTACAACGCAAATATGGGAGTCAGAATCTCTGTTTATTGCTGGCAAGCAAGTTGAATTTTCACTTGCAGATTGCACATGTTCACATGCTTACTTTTGAAAATAGTTCTGAAAACAAACAGTAGAAGTTAAATAAAGCTATGAATTACTACTTGAAATGTCCCATGCAAACCGCAGCAATACAAGCAATTGAATTTTACAATAAAGTTGTATATTTTTATTGTAAAATCTCACAGGAATTTCAGGAATTTTTCAAAGTTCTACCAATAAAAACATCTGGCAGAAAAGCTTTATTTCCTATTCTAAACTGCAGGTACCTTATTTTTCACTTGTGTGTCTAAGACTCCCATGGAGAGAAGTGTTTCAAAAAAACCAAAAGGGATCAAACATAAGATACCTATGAATTTATTTTAATGTTATCTGTCACCTAGAAGAAAGTTAAACAACTTATTAACAAGCATAGCTGAAACTAAATTTGTTAATCACTGAAAAGGATCTGAACATAAATATGCGTGCCAGGAAGATCAACAAAGCATAAGTAACTATGTATAAGTAACAATACATAGTATAAATAACAGTGCAATTAAGAAACTCACTTAAAGCAAGCTGTGCTATTCATCAGTGTAAAACTGCATTGATGACTGCAATACTTTTATTTCACAAAACAAGCATAATTGTCTATACTCAAAAGATCTATGTTATCCTTTAAAGTGGTAGTAGTAGTACTCGTTTCCCTACCCCACTGGTCCTTCTCTTTCAACTCTACACAAACACAAACCAAAAATATCCTTTTTGATGTTTTAACCACTGCCCATCCTTGAGTTCACAGGTAATGAATGAAACAGATTTCACCAAGAAGAGACAGGGATTTAAAGATTTAAGGTAAGTATGAATATGATACAAAATAATCAGCTTTTAGGTCAGCCTGGATTGCCTTAAAGAAACACCAAAGGACATGGTGACAGTTACTGGGATACTTAACATACTCTGAAACAGGTAAGATGGGAGACAAACTGAGTTTTGTTTTCAGGGAAGTGGAGAAACCAAAAGGACTGGATAAGGTAGATGTTTGCATGCAAAGTGTAAATTTCCCAATAGGTAGTTTGGAGTATCACCCAGCATATTTGCTCAAGCATTTTACGCCAATCCATCTACTAGCAAGAATGACCACTGAGACAGATCAAAGAATCTTGCTCTGGGTTTTATCCAGTTCAGTCCTGACTCCTGAATGACCAGACTAGGGTACATGTACTTCAAATGTATTGTGTAAAGTCTAATTACTTACATTCAGAGGCTGTAAGTATGTATTATTATACAAGTATACAATGAAAGCGTGTAGAGACCTGTGATTTTAAATTCACAGTAGGAAAGTTTCACTACATGTGGGAAATTTGTAGTCACCTAAAATTTTTAAACACAACTTATTGTATTCTGGGGTAAGTATTAGGTCTCTGCGCTTAGTATCACTAGCAAATATTTCTTAATTATTATCAGCAGATGGCACCAGATATATTTTGAATGACCCAGAAAGTTTTTCTGCTAGGATAACTTATTAGGAGTGATGAATATAGCAACTTACAAAAGTTTAAATATACATGCCTACATCTGTTTAAGCTTCTTTTTTTCACATAGTTGATTTAAAACATGAGGCATGTGTATTTACTCCATGGATGATGTATGTACATACATACAACCTCAAACCCAGCAGAACAGTCTTTAAGGATCAGGAATAAAAAGTAGCTCTGATGTTCCTCTAGTTTCTCTCACATCACTGTAGATCTGATATTATTAGGATAAGAGAAGGCTAAGTAACACATTTGTATGATATAATCTGATACATTCTGTTTGTGATTGTCCAATTACAGACAGAATGCACGAGAACGCAGTAATAAAGATAATGTGTATGACTAACTGCAATGATTTATTTTAATTCAAAGCTCGCATTTAGGATTGAAACTTCCTCAGTTTATGTAGTTTTAATATTAAAATCCATATTCTTAACTACTCTCTACACTAATGCAACGTGTGATCATTAGACTGCAATGCACAATGTAGAGACCAATTTAAGTGATAGTTCAGACCACACATGTATTTAGCAGGACAATAGGCAAGGAGTTAAAAGCTCCCAAAACAGTGCTCCACAATAGTATTCTATTTCTTGAAAATCAGTATTTGCTTTTTTCATTAGAAAGTCAAAATAGTGACTTAATTTCTCTTCTGATACAATACTAAAAACCCCTGGAAATCAACAGCGAATTGCCCTCCTAGCTTAAAATCATGCTGTGAGAGTAGCAGAACTAAAAACACCTGCTTACTCATTGGCATGTTTTCTGTATTCACTCCAGCTCTCACCTTCTCACAAAAAGGCCACATTTTCCAGAACAACCCCGCCTCAACAGACACCAACCAAGCTGTCCCAGCAATATTCTTAGCTCTGCTTGTAAACTTGTCCTGTTCACTGCCAGATGACCAGCAAGTTAAAAACAGAATAAAGCAATTTATTCTGAGCCATGTATGATAATTAATTTAGTTAACTTGACTGGTCAACAACAGAAGGAATAAGAGCCAAGTTCACTCTAGTCTTCTGTTCAACATTTTTCCTTCCTCTTCTCAGTGGTCATGTTCATTACTCTACATACATTCATATCTCTGAGTTTTTTCTTAAACCCAGTGGAAAATGACCAAGAAATTCAGAAGTCAGTGAAGACAGCAACACTGGCAGGCAGTCAGTCAACACAAAACCAGTGTTTTACTTCCTTAAGAAAGCAGCTGAAATCCTGCTAAACATTCTTTCCTGATGAATTTGATGGAAAGGGACAGCAGTGCTATACAAATTGACTGTATGAGTTCCTACAGAAAACCTTTCAGATTTTGACAGGATTTCTTAAAATTGACTAAAAAAGAACTGCAGTTATTGGGTTAAGTAGTGAATACAACTCAAAACTACACCTCAGAAAGAAACACTTTTTTGTAGTTTGAGATTATGCATGCAAGATTACATTTTCATAGGTTTGCCAAATTATGCCTATGCTGTACAAGAAGCATGATCAGCAAGTGATATCTCTGTGTATCTGAGATACAACTAAACAATGAACAGGAGAACTCAGAGTCAAATGCAGGTATGCGCTATGGTGTAAGAAAGCCCTAGTTATGAATGGAAATATTTTAGAATACAGATACCTAGAAACAAACTTCAAAAAGCTTGGAGGGGAATTATTTTGGTATGGAAATACGGCACTGAACATACTCAACAGAGTTGCCCAGAGAATCTGGAAAGATTCAAGTCATCCTGGCCATTTTCTCCCTCCAGTTTTGTGCCTCAATTCCTTAATTTCTGCAAAAGCTTTTCAGGTTTCCATCTTCTCCTGGTAGGTCATGTCCTGAAGACAGAACCTGATTCACCATCAATGCATTTAAATGACCTTTTCTTTTTCTTCCCCTCCACTCCCTTAATTTTTGTTTTAAAAGGTCACATTAATATTTCATGGAAAAAAGCTTCGAAGAACATATAGTGTGAATACATACAGAACCAGGAAAATTAGTTATCCATGATCAAAATATCTGATCTAGCTCTTAACTACTGCCATGTAATGATGATCACATATGCAACACTAATAGTCACAGGGAAAAAAAAAGGCTAATAAGTATTTTTTAAAGCACATCATGTTTTTTCCTTGTAATTGTTTCTTTGACAAAGAAAAATGGGTGGAATTTAATGTTATTTAAGTGGAAAAGTATCACAGTCTACTTTGCTTTCAACACTGAATGGGTAAAGGGAAATGTCATACTTAGGAAGAAAGTACCTGGGTTTCAGATATATTGTTTAATGGAAACAATCGAAGTTTAATAAAAAAAATTACTTTGGCTTTAACTGAGGTGTCTGCTGAGGGCAGGACTTTCCTACAGACCCCTACCTAGAAAGCTAGTCTTTTATACATACCTAAGACAGGTTCCTAATAGAAAGATTGTTACTTAGTTTACCATCTTGGCAGTAATTCTATCATTCTCTTAAAAGGAAAGAGGAATCATCTTTGTCTAAGATTCTACAGACAACTGCTCATCTTATGAATGCCTGAAGATTGCACATGGTGGACAATGATATAACTTGGTTGCATGTTTTGAGATCTTTTGAACTCATTTCCTGATGACAAAAAGCCCCACAACCCTCACCTAAAAGCAAGCCTGAAAATTACAAAACCGAGCTCCACACTAACTTGTTCTAAAATAAAAGAATAGTGAGATCAATAAAAGTAACTCTCAGATTTGCTCACTAGTCTTAGAAGCTCTTCACAGGGGGCCCAAATGAAATCTATGCTAGTTACAATAGTAAGAGACAGTATATGATTTTAAGGAGTTAGCAATCAAAAACACAGAAAAAAGTGTTATTTCTATTTTAAACAGAGCCAGACAAGAATTCTACTTTCTCTAGGGGCAGAAGACAAATGGGGGGCGTGTGTGTGTGTGTGTATCTGGTTTAGTACCAGCTATAAAAACTGGTCCTTATCTAAATAATTACTTAAATTTTTTTGACAGTTTTACTTCACTTACAAAAACTCAGAAAGCAGACTTGGCATTTTCCTAATAAAACTCTTCATCTTCCTCCTATAAAGCCAAGACAATTACTTAAACACCTCATAAGTTGGTTTCGCATGCCCTTGTAGATATAGGTTTTTTCTTTCTTTTCAGTTCCAATCATTTGAACAACTTTAAGAGACTGGAATCTGAACTGAAACAATATTTTTAGAAAACTCTGCAGAAAGTACCTTTTACATAAGAATACACAAGTCCTTCAGAGAATCACAAAAACAATCGGAAAAGACTTTGGTTTTGTTATTCAGTAGAGAAAACCTTTTTAACCTAGCGTTACTGATCTGGCAGATAAAAAAAACCTAAGGGAGATGCTAAAAGCCAAATGCTCTTTGTGAAAAACTTCACAGAAGTCACTCACTCCAGTAAGGTCATGCAAAGTTTCACTTCTCCCATGATAAAAGTTCCTCTCAAGGAGTATCAAAAGACAGCATCTCCAGCAGAAGCACAGAGCAGAAAAATGTTGGAAAACACTGTACATCAAGCCCAAGAACAAATAGGAGAAAGTAGAAATTTGAAGGAATTAAAATACTTGCCTAGGGAGATGCCATGCAACTGAGTCTGTGATGAAAATATAACAAGAGTTTCAGAAGCAATGAGGTGGCAACTTCACTGGATAATTTATTTCAAATGAAAAATAATTTTAAAGAAAGCCAAGGTACAAAGACAGGCTCAAAATGCTGTTGCACTCCATTTAAAGCCCAAAGGAAAAGCAGGCTGAACAGAGAGATGCCCTGTACAGAAAAATATTTGGCACACCCCAGGTTCAAGGGCACAGTAATCTCTTCCTGCTACAGCAAGGTAAAAGAGAAAATTAGCTTTGGGTTGTTCTCCCACCTACATGAAGGAAGAGGACATGGCTCACACTCTAATTCTTTGCTGGAGCAAGGAAAAGGCTGTCACCCTATTCATACTCAGCTATTTTGACATCCAAGTACATCTACTAAACCTAAGAAAAACCTGTGGAAGTTGTAGTTACTGAATAGAGCTGCATTCACAGAAATTTAAGGAAGAAAATGAGTTATTTCTGCTGCTGGTGACAGTGACTAGCTAAGTAACTTATATGAACCAAGCTGACTTGTCAGTCATTCGTGTACTGCTATAACTTGCTGAGTGCCAGAGAACAAGAGCTACTAAATTCGCTCTTTAATTCTTTGAGTATATACTTTGACAAGAAGTTTTAACCTCTGACTTGGATATACCTGAAGTATCAGGTTTTGTGTGAGAAGATCTCAAATACCATTTTCTAACCTGTAATACACATTCTGTCACTAAAAACAGTCTTCCTGATGAAAACTAGAAGTCAAAGTTTAGGAACAGGAAACATTTACATGTTTAAAATTCCAGAGATTGGCACCTGAACTTGGCACAAAAATAAAGTAGCAGGTCATGGTTAAAAAAAAACAACCAAACAAAAAAAAAAAAAAATACAACCCAAAACCCAAACCAAACAATAAAATAAGAAAAACAGGGATTCACAAATACAACACACAATGTGATGGGACTAACAGAAAACACCAAACAGGAAGAGCAGTGCTTCACTAGGTAACTCAAGTAAGCAGAGAAAAAGATTAAGGAAAACAAAAGGAATAAAAAGAGAAATGACATTCAGTAGATAAATGAAAACTACTTAAAGTAAACCCTGAATAATTTGATTCTTCTAGATTTGTGTCATTTCTCTTAATATGAAAGATATGCTTATTACCTTTCTTTCGAAAGAGTGCATTTAGATAGTTTTCTGCTTGGCATTCAATTTTATCAGTGTTGGACTGGCCCTGAGATGACAGTTCCTCTGTAGGTGTTGACTGTGAAGAACCGATAACTGATGCACGATCCTAGAAGACATACAAAGATTATAGCATCTTTCAGAAGTTTGTCTACTGGTAGTATGATATAGAATTAAATTACTGAGCTAACATTGAGTAAAAGAATCACTAAAAATGTATTTACTATAGAACCAAACCACCTCACTCCCTCTCATAGACAAACTATCTTGAGTCAAAATGCAGTATTAACTTATTTGAAAAATTCAATTCTCCAATTCCTACTTTCAGTACAAAAACTTGGGTCTTAGGGAGTCATGCTTGATATCATGTTCATACTTACACTGACTGTTTCTTTGTGTAAATTACAAAAGGAACATTTCTCATCCATAGACCAGTCAGTTAGCTCTTCTGGCTCACAGTCTTAAAAGAAGAAAAAAAAGCTAGATGTTTTAAACAAGCAAAAATGGATTTTGAGAACAAAATACACACCCTCCAATTCTTTTAAATAAATTCCATCATAATCTAATATACATTTATTGCTACAATGTAGTCAGTAGTATTCAATTCTTTCTTGTCTAGCTCACACAGCTTAACTTTCAAAGAGGGCACCTTTTTTATGAGGAAAGGTAAACTTAGACATTTCAATTAATTACCTATCACAGTTACTTAAGGCATCTGAATACTGTAAATAAATCTCTGAATTCCAGTCAACATTCATTTTAACACCATGCAAAGTGTTAAACAAGTGTACAAACTTGTAGTAAACTAAGCTAGGAATTAAGACACGGATGCCTCACCATTTCCTATGTGTTGTACTTAAAATATTTAACTGAGTTGATATCATCACTGTAGGTAAAAGAAACCCTTATACTCACTTGTAGCATTTGATTTATTTAGAAAACTTTAAAGTAACTTTGTATGTTTTATCAGAAGGTGTACTTTAATCTTGAGGGAACGTAGAACTTCAGCAGAATGCATGTATCAAGTCCAGTCTTCTCCTATTGAATGTTTCCTTAAACAGGTTGAGCCCCATTTCAAAAGTTAAGAGTTTTCCATCTCATATACTGTTTTCTTCCCAAGCCTCCAATTGCTTTAAAGCTTGTCCTACACCAACTGTACTAATAATGAAAATTAACCTTCTAATTTTTTGTTTAAATTTACTCATGGCAAATTATTCCAGTTTGCTTTTGTGACAACATTGTTCTTATAAACACTATTTTTTTACGTATTTAGCACCTGGATGTATTTGTAGAGAATATCATTAACATGCCATTTACACTTCATTTTACTAGGCTAATGCAGTATACCCAGTTTTCTCTCATGAGATTCAACCCTCTGCACTCCATCTGCAACCACCTTTTCTGCACCAATCTCACTTGAACACCCATTTCCTGAACACAGGTGACCAAGACGTCAAGGTGATGCCTTTCTTTTACATTTACACCAGACTTCCTTAAACTGTAGACAATACTCTTCCTACAGTATCCTAAGTTGTGCATAAGTCTACCACAGACGCAGCATTTTGGCAGGTGAATGACCCTGATTAACTGCAACACCAAGGTCCTGTCCATCCCATTCATTTCCAGCTCATGCACTTACAACTTAACACCTCCCCGACCTTAATTACCAAATATGTTTCTTACTTTCGTCTGTACCAGCAAATTACAATGACAGTTCTACCAGGGAGGTTCTTGGGATTATCTGCTTTCAGTAACACTGTGCTAGGTTGACCTTGGCTGGCTACCAACCCCCATGCAGTCTCTCTCTGACCAGGGCAGGAGGAGAAAATAAGATTGAAAAACATGTGGGTCCAGATAAAGACAGGGAGACCACTTACCAGTTACTGCCACAGGCAAGCAAAACTCAACTTGGGGAAAATTAATTGCATTTATTGTTAATAAAAATAGATTTGCATGGTAAGAAAGGCAAAAACTAAAATGATCTTACCACACTTTCTTCCCAGGCTTCAATTTCACCCCTTCATTCCTGACTCTTCTACCTTCTTCCCCACCCCAATCAGTTCAAGGAGGATAAGAAACAGAAGCTGTCCTCAGATTATAAGAGTTCCTGACTGCCTCTCCTTCTCACCTTTTTACCCTGTACTAGCATGGGGTCCTTCCCACAGGCCTTCATGAACTGCTCTAGTGTGTGTCTTTCCCACAGGGCACAGTCCTTCAGTAAGGGATCACTCCAAAGGCCCACAGTTCCTGATAGAAAATGGGCTCCTGCATGGTCTTCTCTCTACAGGCTGCAGTTCCTGACAGGAGCATGCTTCAGCATGGGCTCTGCCTCCTTTGGGGCATGTCCACCTGCTTCAGTGTGGAGTCTTCCATGAGCTGCAGTGTGGCTATCTGTTCTGGTATGGTCCTCCTCAAGCTCCAGGTTCTACCTGCTTCACCATAGTCCTCTCCATGGCCTGTAGGGGACCTCCCCGCTTTGATGACTGCGGCACCTCCCTACCCTCTTCTCTGACCTCACTGTCTGCTGGGTTGTTTCCCCCACCCCAACAACTGCTGAGCCTTTACTCTCTTAAATGCATTATTATAGAGGGACCTTCAGATATAAAATGAGTCTGAAAAAATGAACTTCATGAGTGTGAACACAACCCAAATAACTGTATTATCATTTAAATCTAGTTTACTCACCTCTAAAATAATAATTGAGAATAGAATTCTGCATTAACAATATATTATATGCTTCCAGGGATGCAAAGAGCAATTTGACAGGTTGGACAGCTGATGGTCAGTAACAGACATGAGATTTTTCTTGACCGGTCAGTAACAAAATGAGTTACTGCTGCTGAATTAATCTAGCTGTCTCAGCCTATTAGATTTATTCCTTTAAGATGTCCACAGATGAAAAAAACCCACACTATTTCTTTCATAAATAAGTTTGTGTTTTTGCAGCTTCACTTGAAACCTCAGTAAGTCTGCTTATGAATGCTGGGATCCTGTGAGTAACTCCAAAACATGCCTTATATTTTAAGAGAAATTCTGCCATGGAATCCTGAATTTCCACTCCTAAAAGTCTAACTAGAGAGCAATCCTTGTGTATTGCCAAAAAAGCAAACCTTGAGAAGCATCAGCCCTAGGTAATACTAAATTTATTTAAAGAAGTATAAACTATGTACAGCACGCCACATTTAAGTATGACAGTGAGCTAAGCAAAACTGCCATTACACAGCAGATATATACCAGATACATCAAGTTACTGACATCCAACAATCTCATGTCACCACTGCAGGAAATATACTGAGACCAGTGTTAGTTTTTAACTTCAGAGACAACCATGATCCCAGAAAGAATAAAAAGGTGAATTCTGACAAAATTTCTTAAGCCATCCAAATCTTTATTTCCCCAAACCATTTTTTTTGTTCCTCAAGGAGTCATGCTGAATTAAACACATTAATACAGATATCAGTACTGAACATATTCCATTTACATCTTAAAATGTGAAATAAGTGCCTAGTAAATATAAGTGAGATAGCTTAAAAAATTTAACCCTTACTTTTCACCATCTTCTGCATCATTATAATAATGTCCTAATAAATTTTCCAGCTATTTGTCGCAACTCTGACCAAACAATCCCCTTTCTTTTTACATGGTATTACTGCTTCCTAATAGGTATATAAGAATATCAGAGATGTTTATCATGTTTCTTAAGATTCTTAATTTAATGAAAACTTGAATATCATAAATTCATGTTTCTAATATATTTTTCCTTTCCATTATGTCATCTATAAATAGGTATTCCAGAACAATTTAATGAAAAGACAAAACACACCATCAAATAAACCTTTCATCATGTACAAAGGGTTTTTTTCCCTGGCAGAGAAAGAATGATGAGAGCTGCTTTTCTTTCACAAGACACTTTTTCCTCTGTTCATAAGAGAATATCCCACAAAGACAACACACAGAAAACAGATGATCAGAGGAAAAGCTTTCTAACAGTTCAGCTAAGTATCTGTAAGTAAAATGTCAAGAACAACAATTTACATGTGAATCTACTTAGCTGAAAATGGGCATAAGCAAAGGACTAGAAAGCCTTAAGGACTCAATGACACGAGAAGCCTCAAGCCTGTTCAGGAGATGACCAAGGTCAGATACCAAGACATAGAAATTGACACCTTTGCAACCAGAAGCTGCAGTACCAAAGCAGTCAGGGGAAAAAGAAATAAGGTGCTGCGTAACAGAAGTGACAAGAACCATTTAGGCAAGCCCAAGGTAAGTCCTAGGTACACTTGAAAGAATTTCAGTGTAACAAAAAAGAAAGTTTGTAACTTTGAGGTAACTGTTGTATGGTGGCTATTTCAGTCAGGCTTCTAAGCAAGATTGTATCTGATGTTTACAAGGTATTTTCTTTGGAAAATAAAAAACACACTAAAACAGAATAAAAGTCCATGGGTCCTGATGAAATCATCTGCGGGTTCTGAAGGCGCTGCCAAATGAGGTTGCTAAGCCACTGTCCATCATACTTGAAAAATCATGGCAGTCAGGTGAAGTTCCCGATGACTGGAAAAAGGGAAATATAACCCCCATTTTCAAGAAAGGGAAAACAGATGACCCAAGGAATTACAGACCAGTCAGTCTCACCCCTGTGCCTGGCAAAATCTTGGAGTAGATTCTCCTGGAAGGCATGCTAAGGCACATGAAAAACAACAAGGTGCTTGGTGACAGCCAGCATGGTTTCACTAAGGGGAAATCCTGCCTGACCAATTTGGTGGCCTTCTATGATGGGGCTACAGAACTGATGGACAGGGGTAGAGCAGTTGATGTCAGCTACCTGGATTTGTGTAAAGCATTTGACACTGTCCCACACGACATCTTTGTCTCTAAATTGGAGACAACCATTTGATGAATGGACCACTCGGTGGATAAAGAACTGGCTGGATGGCCACACACAAAGAGTTGTGGTCAATGGCTCAACGTCCAGCTGGAGACCAGTAACGAGTGGTGTCCCTCAGGGATCAGTGTTGGGACCGGTCTTGTTCAGCATCTTCGTCGCTGACATGGACAGTGGGATTGAGTGTGCTCTCAGCAAGTTTGCCGATGACACCAAGCTGTGTGGTTTGGTTGATATGCTGGAGGGAAGGAATTCCATCCAGAGGGACCTTGACACGCTTGTGAGGTGGGCCAGCAGGTTGAAGGAGGTGATCCTGCCCCTCTACTCTGCTCTCGTGAGACCTCACCTGGAGTATTGTGTGCAGTTCTGGTGTCCTCAACATAAAAAGGACATGGATTTGTTGGAACAAGTCCAGAGGAGGGCCACGAGGATGATCAGAGGACTGGAACACCTCCTGTATGAAGACAGGCTGAGAAAGTTGGGGCTGTTCAGCCTGGAGAAGAGAAGGCTGCGTGGAGACCTCATAGCAGCCTTCCAATATCTGAAGGGGGCATATAAAGATGCTGGGGAGGGACTCTTCATCAGGGACTGTAGTGATGGGACAAGGGGTAGCGGGTTAAAACAGTGGCTTAGCAACTTCATTTGTCAGCTCCTTCAGGACCTGCGGATGTATTTCATCAGGTCCCATGGACTTGGGAACATTCAGGTTCTTAAGATGGTCTTGAATCAGATCCTTTCCTACAGTGGGCCCTAGGTCTTCATTCTCACAGTCCCTGCATCTGCCTTCCAAGACTCAGGTGGTGTGGTCAGAGCATTTGCCAGTGAAGACTGAGGCAAAGAAGTCATTAAATACCTCAGCCTTCTCCAAATCTAGGGTAGCCAGTTCTGATAGCTTCTGGAGAGGGCCCATGTTGTTCCTAGTCTGTCTTTTATTTGCAATGTACCTATAGAATCCCTTCCTGTTATGTTTCACATCTCTTGTTAGATTTAATAGTTACTGGGCCTTAGATTTCCTAACCTGGTCCCTAGCTTCCCAGACAACATACCTGTATTCTCAGGCCACATGTCCATGTTTGCACCTTTTATAAGCCATTTTTTACCCTCTAAGTTCTCTCAGCAGCTCCCTATCCAAGGAGTTCTCCCAGCCCTCCTGCTGCACTTCCTTCTAGTCCAGACACAACACTCCTGAGCTTGTAAGAAGTAGCATATAATTTACAAGAAATTTTCAACAGCATTAGGTAAATAAGCTAAAACTTTTCCCATAAGAGAGCTCAAATATATGCATACAGGAACTCTAGAGGAGCAATGTACACCTAATTGTGTGCCATCAGGCTCTCTCAGCTACAAAACTCACATTCTGTCCATTAGCTCAGTACTTTCCAATTCCTCACACAAAAGGAAAAAAAGTGTTCCGAGTTTTCTTTCAAAAATGTAAATCCTTTGATGCAAAAGGAATACTAAAACTTTAGTTACTAACCAGCCCAATACATAGCAAGCCAATAGAATTACAACCAGAAAAAAAAGATACTGTACACTATTATAACAATGTCCTGTTCCCTTTTCAAAGCACTAACATGCTTGTTTATCACAGCAGATGTAAATAAGCTTTAACCCAAATTTACACATTTCTTAAATATTTTTAAATCTGACTAGTGACATGCTTACAAACCTAAGTGGCTAAGAATATTCTTAAAACATCAGTAAAATAGTATTCCATGCTCTTGCCCTTTTCCTTTAAAATATTGTATTATGTGCATGATATGGGCCAAAGAACTTGCACAATATGAAGAGGACAAAACCACAACCAGGTTAAAGCAGTCATTCCAAACCTATTGTAAGCAAACGTTAACAGAATATGGCCACTCTGCTTCATGTACTAACAGTATTCTATGATTCTATATAGGCTATATGCTTTACAAATTACACTATCAGATAATAAATTCTAAAGAAATTAAATGGAACATTTTGAAGGTTTGATAACAAAACATTTAAAGTCATGAAAGTGAACTTGACAGAACACTTCTTTCAACACTTCAAAGAAATTTTGTGCTGGATTTTCCTCCTTTGCTTTTGTTAAAGATGGATAAATCGTTTTATATTTAACTAGGGGCTCAGGTGTTACTGACAGCTATTCCAGCAAAACTAGGCTAGGTCTTATAAGGATAATGGAAAAATATCTACGCTTTTATATATATATATATATACATATATATATATGCACACACATATAGGTAAACTAAAAGAAAAAGCTTATTTTTATATAAAGATATTAAAAATATATCTATAAAAAGCTTACACTTTCTTGACCGTTACAAGAAACCCAAGCTATCATTCACTACCTTCCATTTCCCAATTAATGTCAATAGGCAGCTGAGCAGCTTGTCTTCCATTTCTAAAAGATGCCCAAAGAAACAAAGTAGGAGCTGCAAAAAGCAGAAAGTAGATCTTTCCCATGAGAGTTTCTCAGGGAAGCTTAGCTAATCCAAAATTTCCCTGCATAGGAACAAAACCCAGGTACCATTTTACCTAGTGCTTTGCCTATGCTCAGCATTAACAAGAACATGATAAAATAAACATTAGAAAGAAAAACAGTAGAAGATTTTATTCTTAGAATTAAATACATGTATTAAACTACCTTTAACTAAAAGAAAACATAAATGAAGGCCATTGCGCTAGAGCTGACTCATTTACCTTCAAATAAACTGAGGTCTCTTCGTAGCCTTGGTCCATAAAGCCCTTCTAAAATACTTTCAAAACCTGAAAACAAAAGAAACATTTAAAACCGTAAATCAAAAGTTTCTTAAAAAAAGCAAATCCAAGAACACTGGCAGCAAGTATCTCAAATTCTGAGAGGAGTTCCAAAAATCGTTACATTTATCACACAAATATTTACTCCTTCCTCTATAGTACTATTCAACAGAATTAGAAGTTAAAAATAAGACAAGGCAATTGCCATCTGCACACAGTCAGCCTATTAAGCCATGCCCCAACAACCTCCTTAGACTTAAAATAACTACCACACAATCTTAAAGATGGGAGGATTAGCCTCATAGCTCTACAGAAGTGAAGTAGTCTCTCTCTGGCACTGAGAATTAGGATCGTGGGGGAGGGGAGGGAGCAAGAAACCTTAAAAACCAGAAACTTCTCATTCATGATCACTCGAAATTACCTAATCTGAGAGGGCTAGTATTTCTACAAATGTAAAAAAAAAGCTTATTTTGCTTCTGATACCATAACAGTTTACTCTAGTCTTCCATATCTGTACAAAAACCTTTTAAAATTGAGGATTACATAAATCCAATTATTTTCCAGATTTACCAGCTAGTCTGTTTTGGTATTTGGTAATATCACATACTGTAACTAGGGGAAGAGACAGAGCAAAGCAAATGATATATATTAAAAAAAAAAAAAAAAAAAAAAAAAAAAAGCCAGCAAATACCCTGAAGATGCATGACTACTGATACATGAAATATGATGAGAATTTACATCATCGTCATCAAAAGAAGTTTTGTTCAATATAGGAACAGTTTCCAAGTGCCCACTCTTTTCTCCTTCCAAATAATAAGCTTATTTTTAACTAAGAGGATAAATCAAAGCAGCATTTGAAGGTTCTCATTCTCAAGACCTATTTACATTAAAGATGCAATTATAAAATAGTCTTAGAAAGTACTGTAAATTAGCTACATCACATAAAAGATACTAATATGTTCAGGAAACAACTACTATCAACAAAGAACATTTAGGATCGTAAAATCTGCTCATCAGCTGTAAAGCCCTCTAAGACAATATGACATACAGCTCTAATGAAAAATGACATTTACTTTTTGGTTTAGATTGTTTGCACACTAGTTTAAGGAAGGAAGAATAAATACATACCACATCTTAAGCAGCACGTAAAATAATATATTAAAATCCTAGCATAGACAAGAGAAGCTACCTTAACACATAGGTGCTGTTGAGCTTGACAGGTCACATGTGGTTGAAATTTACCTTTCAGTTTTGTATTATTTTGTCATTTTAATGCTCTAAAGGTTATTTATTTCTATTTTAATTTTCCTGTTCTCTTTGTAATATAGTCCTATGCGAGATCACAAGCTGACAAAATCAAGTCTCACAAACATATATACACATACACTTTTTAAACACAGCCTACAAAAAGCAATATTCCAAGGCTGAAGGATACACTAAAAATTACCTTAAAGCATTATCCACTGACTCTTAGATTCAGTGTAATATAAATTCACATCTATTAGCACAAATTCCAAGCTCTTTTGGATTCAAAGGGTTACAGAAAAAAACCAAAACAACCAAGAGAGATAAAGAAGTAGAGATGAAGAAGTCTCAGGTTAAGACAGCAATTCCCCAAACACAAGAGTCTGGAAACAGAAAACATGCTATGTGTATAATAATACACATATTATACACAATAATAATGATCATTAATGTCATAAACTCCAAGCCACTTTAGCTCAGCATCTAATACTTAGGTTCTGGCAAGTTACTGTCACTGGGTAAAGACATGAATGAGTGAAGTATCTCTTGGAGACAGTTGTACTTATTCCAAAAGAACACACACTAACTTCCATGTCTTACTAGCTTTTAAATCAAACAGGAACCTTGTTTACCACTCCAGTCAGCACCAGAACCTCCCTGTTTTTCAGACACCTACCTTTTCCCCTGCCCCAAGTGTGGTGGGTGTCACTTGTTTCTGCCTTTAATTTTGTACTTACACATATCTGCTTGTCCTACTGCCTGCTCCTGCCTGTGCAAAAACATGAGCACAGAAAAACTAGTTCTATGAAACACAGGTTTGCTAAGGAAGAATGCAATTTCCAAACAGGCTTCCATACAGCTTCTATTAGGGATAGCAATTAAAACCCACAGTGTGCTTTTTCCTGAGCAAAGGACACACCGCCCTGCATCTCTGCTAGTTCACCACTTAGTTCCATCCCACTGATCCAAGGTGATGCCTCTTTTACAAGTCCTCACAGAACTTTGCCATAGAGCCACAATTTTAACATACTTGATGTGATAATTTTTTTCCTCAGGTTTGGATATTAGATCCTTTCTTTTAAAACAAAGTTTAATTATATAGCCTAACAACAGAGACAATCTTTTTCCAGCACTTAATCTAGAATTTTCCCAGAAAAGATGTGTACTACTTCCACTTTGTGCAGCTTTCTACAAAGTTGTTGCTCTGCTTTTCAGCAGCATTGATACAATTTTGATTTAGCCTAAAAATGAAGATATATCTTAGTTTCTAGTACAGCTACAGATGAACATGCACTAGCACGGTTTCATAAAATATAGCCACCTAAACACAGGCATTTCAGTAAACCTCTGTTTTACATCATGAGACAGTATGCAAAAGCAAATGGTAGTAGTAGTTCTGGAACTCTTCAGAACCTGAAAAGCCTACAGATACTGGTCAAAAATATGTTTTGCTTATATCTCTTGTGATTAAATAAATATTCTGCTTTAATTTTACACAATTTTTTGTTTCTTTTTGTGGCCAACTGAGCACTTGATTTCAAACTACCTTTCAAAACTACTAATACTTGATCCCTGACACTTTTAGCACCAAACTGAAAAGAAAAACCATTGGCTCTATTAACTTGTAATACCTCAATATATTAAACTCCCTTTACTACTACTACTACATTTCTTCTGTTACTTGCCTTACTTCTTGTGTTTTCACATAAAAAGATCAGCTTTCTTTATTACCCAAAACCCTTAGGTTACACTAACAATCTTCATATGCAGAAATTTATGATACAGCTCTTAACCCAAAGAGAAGTTTATACAGTTTGCTTTCCTGAACAGTGTTGTGAACAGCTCTTTCCCCTACATTAACTATCCCCATACTCCACAACCACCCTCCACCAAACCTACTGCTTTCCTCACTCAGGGCTAGGATGAGGATTCCCAGGACCAGGAAGGCTGGGAGTTGCGACCTACAACCACAGGAAGGGAGCTCTCTTTGGTAGCTATTCAGGTGCTGAAGAGGCAAGCAGCCCAGGAAAGAGTTCCATCAGGTTTGACACCTAAGCCTGATCACGGCCAATGTCACTAAAAAGAAGCGACAAGTGACAGCAATTGCAGACCCCCAGGGGTTGAAGACTTCTGCTCAGCAACGGGGCTGACTCTTTAAAGCTCTGCTGCTTGCCCACAGTCCAAATCTGGAATGCTGCAGGGAAACTCTTACAGCTCACTTAGCCACTTCAATTTGTCTCACTGCTGTCTCATATGATACTGCCAAAGGAGATCTGCAGCAGATCAAAGCTAACTACAGGAGTCCAGGAACAATAGTGAATGACACCAGAACCATGTGTTGATCCAGGGGAAAGGCTTTGACAGGAGCAAACACTTTCTACCAATCAACATCTGACCACATGGCTGCAGGGAGGACCCCAGCTCTTACAACATCAACATCCTCAAGAAACAGAGTGCTTGAGAGAGATAGGACTCATTTGATAATGCAAGTGTCGTTGCCAACATGCTTGCCTCTTAAGAAGGGATTCAAACTATGCTTGCCAGAGGAGTGGAGACTGACACCTAGAAAGTAGAATGGCAGAGAGGGTAAATGCACAGTACTACATAGTAGCAAAGATCTTACAGTTCCACTGAAAAGGTGGCATAAACAGGAACACATCTTAAGCAGCTGTACATGAATGCATTCAGCACAGCAAGCACAAGGGATTATAGACCAGAGTGCACAACAATCTCACTGGGAGTATGTGGTATGGTGAGACAGTTCAGACAACTGGAGAACTACAGTGAATGGATACTTGTAAGAAAAGTGAGAAAGTCAAGGACAGTGCTTATACTTTGCACTGAATAAATCCATGGGTCAGGATTCAACCGGGGAACATCATGGTGAACATCTGTTACAGACTGCCCAATCAACAGATGAAGCCTTCAAAAAAACAACAACAAAAAAATAATACACAGTCAAGGCGTTGGCTCACATTAAAAATATCAGTCCCCCTGACATCTGTTAGAAATGCAACATGGCAGCACAGAAGCAACCCTAGAGATTTTGACGGTGAATGGAGGACAAACTCAATCGAGGCAGACAAGCTCAACAGGGAAGGCACTCTACTAGACCTGCTACTCATGATTAAGGGAGAGTGGATCAATGATGTAAACAGTTAATAGTGGTCTTGGCCACAGCAGCCACGAGGTGGAATTTAAGATCTCAAGGGAAGTGGATAGCTAATAATGGCCCTGGTCTTAGAAGTCACTGATTTACACTTCTCCACCAGGAGGGGGAAAGTGGAATGAAGCTAGTAGGGCTGCTGCACTGTCTTAAGATAGTCTTAAGAGAAGCCATAAATGGGCCAAAGGCCTAAGGCAAGGGTTTTAGTGAGGTACCCTACTAACTCTTTATAAAATCAAAGAAATTGGAAAAGGTAATTACCACTACTAAGCAATTCAGAAACCATTATTTTGCGAGTTATTTCCAGTATGTTGTTTAAGTCTCTCTACAGGTTTATTCAGATTTAAAAGAGTATTAAACCAGGATTATTAAATCCAAAATAAGTCTTTAGAGTACCTTCATAACTATTTAAATAGTCTTCTTCAAGTGCTCATAGAACTTTATGATTTAAGTTTTACATAACTATTTTATCGCTGTAAACTACTGTGTCTGTCACTTTTTCAAAGCCTATCTACATTAGAAAGTGTACCTCACCACATATGAACAGCAGATGCTATAAAATTCTTTGCTATGAATGAAACAGAATAGTGATTAAATG